GAGAGAGAGAGAGAGAGAGAGAGAGAGAGAGAGAGAGAGAGAGAGAGAGAGAGAGAGAGAGAGACCCCAGCGCTGAGAGCACCTGGAATGACTGCCACCTTGTTTCCTGAGCACTGTCCCATCATATCTGTGGTGGAAATTATGTCCCAAATCCTCAGCATGAGATGGCTTAGGCTGTTCCCAGGGGAAGAGGAATTACTGTGTTATTGGGTATCAAGTCCAAGTTCAGATCTGCTACAGGGGGTGTCACCGAAGATTTTACCTAGGTCTCAAGCGGACTAATTTCTGGGGACCTCAGACAACCTTCATTTCTGATGACTGACTCCAGCAGGGGGCGCTTGAGGGTGAGGACTTGGAAATTAACAACTCTTGCTTAAAATGGACCAGCACAGTTCCAGGCGCCAGTGGGCATTCACTGAATATTAGTTCAATATGGAAAAACTTCACAACAAAAATGAACTAGTATTGCCACTGAGGAAGTGACCACATGGCCCAGGTAGCTTCTGAACAGTCATCCTTCAAATTCTTGACCCCATTGCTCCCACAAGAATACTTAAGATTTCTTTCACTACCGCTCCTGGTTTTCATTTTAAAAATAGTCACTGAATTATGAAAAGTTACTAGAATAATTTCTCAAGTTTCAACCAAAGCACATTATCGAGCGTTCCTTAACCACCCACTTCTTTTTTTTTTTTTTTCTTTTTTTTTTTCAGATTTCCTTAGAACCTCATGTCATTTTTACTGGTTGCATTAGCCTAGATCACTGGGTGGGAGACAAATGAAAGTGTGTCCTGAAATGGTGTTGTTTTAAAAAAGGCTCCACGATGCAGGGTTTCTGTGTTCTGAAGCTGCAGAGCTGGGATGGCTATCTGAAGGGCTGTGCTGCTCTGCCTTTGCGTTTCTAAGCCATTAGAAGCTGCCTACGTTCAAGGCCATGTGCTTGGTTTGACTGACTGAGACCTCAGAAGAGACGTCCCAGCCATCACACAAAAGCCATGTCCCTTGTGAAGTCGTGGGTCTCCCAACATGGAATCCCCAGAATGTGCACTGAATAACAAGTCATGGCACCAGCCCTCACGCCTCTGTTCTTACTCTTTTTTTAGGGAAGAGACACCCAGGGCAAGGTCTCCTCTGGGCACCACGCAGGATGTGGAGTGGGGTGCTGGGGCAGAGAGAGCAATGTTCTCTTATGAGGGACAGACTCAGGGTGACTCAGGCCTGGACTCACAAGCTGTGGGACATTGGGCCTCGGTTTTCTTCTTTAAGGATGAATCCTCTGAGTTGGTGAGTGAAGTGAGGTAACCTGTGTGAAGGGACCAGCTCGCTAAGTCTGACTTCCTCTGCCTTTCTCAGGGTTCCCGGCCAGGGTGGGAGGAGCAAGCCTTGGGGTGTCCTCGGCACAACGACGACTCCAACTTCTAGACCCAGTCAACCTCTGGTGCTTCCCCGGAGCCTGGGGGCTGGTCCTACGCCTTCACTGGCAAGACCTGTCCAAGGGATTGAGGTCATTCTTGGCCACAGCTGGGACCGAGGGGAGGGCATGTGACCTCGGGATGTGCCGTGGTGCCCGATGGGCTTCCCTACTGCCCCAACCCCTGCTCATGGTTTCTGGCTCCCTGGGACTCCCCTGAGTAGCTTATCCAGGGCAGTCCCTTTGGGGTGAGTAGGTCTCAATCATGCTCCCCACTTCTGGGTATAAGGCACCAATTAAGCGGACAACAGAAGTCTGGTTGGGACTTAACATGGGGCTTGGCCTTCAGAGGCTCAAAGGGGAAGAAGTATTGGGTTGTCGGAAAAGTCATGACGCATTTTTGCAACGAAAAACATAGAAAAAATACGTCATGACTTTTCCAACAAGCCAATACTTTCATCACCTCAGACAGTGGCTGTTCCACTTTAGAGACGCCTTCCAGTCCGTTTGGTGGCCCTGTGAGCTTCTGCTCCTCCATCTTTGCCACCTCCACTTCCTCACTCAGCCTGTTCTCTTGGGCGTTCCCAGCAGCAGCCTGGCAGACCCCCGGCCACGATGCTCCTCCCCTGCCCCATCCATCCACACTCACGGACCGGAGGGGAGCCCCACAATGGCTACAAACAATAAAGCCCCCGTGAGCTCTCGCTCTGTGCTGCACAGTCCCTGAGCGAGCCTGCTTATCCACACCCCATGCCTGTGAGGCCGAAGCACAGCCTCTGCACCCCCATTTTACAGACGGGGAAGCTGAGGCACGTGAGGTGAAGTACCTGCCCAAGGCCCCACCCCAGCAAGTGGTGATGACCTCACGGGTCCTCTCTCTCCTGCTCAGACCCCCTGCCAGCCCCCACGCCTCCCAGGTATGGAGTCCGGCCTTCTCTCCAGAGCCGCCCTGCCCGTGCCTCTGCTCCGGCCTCTCCAGGCTCACGGGCCCAGAGCCACTGAGGGCTTTCCCTGCCTTTGATGCTTTGCTCCACTACGTAAACCCTGCTCTTCCTCCAAAGCCAAGGCCCCACGGCCCCTTCCTCACGATGCCTTTTGCAGTTGCCCACTGCCAGAAGGCACAATGCAGATGCTAACAGCAGTTGCCATTTACTGAGTTTTTAAGCCCTATTCTGCCACGGTTTCCTCACCTGTAAACTGCAGTCAGTCACACACCTGCCTTGTATATAAAATAGGGATAACAACAGGCCTACCTCACAGGGCTGTTGTGTGGAGTAAACGAGTTAGTATCTAGAAAGTTCTTAGGGCCCCGCCTGGCCCTTAGTCAGTGCTCACATGTGTCAGTGGGTTTGTCATTAGTGCTTCCAGAGCCAGCTGATCACCTCCTGGCACGATCCCATTTAATTCTTTCAGCAACCGGGTAAGGCAGGCACTCTGCTCGCCACCATTTTCTACTGAGGAAACTGAGGCTCAGAGAACTTATTTTGCAACATTGAGATTTACATAGGGATGGTCCAACTCCAAAGCTCTTACATCTTAACCTCAAAGCTACATAAACTCCGTGTGTGTGTGACAACTCGTGTGCCCGACTGTCCCTCCTGGGCACTGAGCTCCATGAAGATGAGGCAGGGCCTCTGGGCTCTGTGTCCCTAGTGTTTGGCACAGCCGGGCATGCCGTGGGCACACAGAACATGGGCACGGCTGACCCGAATCACACTGTGCTGTGCTGCAGCTTCTCCTTCCAGCCATGGCACCGCCTGATGACACACGGCGACAGGACACGGACCTGCACAGAGGTCCTGCCCTGTGGCAAGGTGCCCTGACCGCAGGCTCTCGAGTTGGTGTGTTTGCTGGGACTCCTACACATATTTCAAATTTGTGTTTTTCATTTCAATGATAAGCTAAAATTACTTTACCAATGATCAAACCTCAATTTCTTTGGTGCAGTGGTCATTGAAAAGGGAAAGACATTTCCACAGACTAAAACTTCCATGTCTCAAGTTATCATTTCTCAGTTGTGCTGAGGAGAAGATATTTACGTCTTAGAAGCATTACTGAAGTTAAAGAAATTGCCTCTGTGCCACAAGGCTGTTTCTGGTTTTGAGGACCTCTGGAAGAAGGCTACCAGGGCAGCCCCACCTCCTCCCCTCGGTGGGGAGGCCGAGTAGGGCCGCTGGGAGCTACGTGCCAGAGCAGGTGGTGTGGAGACAGAGCCTGTTCTCCTGGGTGAGTCTCTCCAAGCCTCCACCTGCCTGCCGGGCCCAATGTTTGCACAGATGCCCAAGGGCGGGGGCCTGGCGGGTGGAGGCCATGCTCTCCCTCAGTCCCCAGGGGGTTTGTTCATGGCCCTGCTGCTCGCAATTTGCAATCATTTTACTTACCTTTCCGTTTCCTTTTCATTCCCCCTGTCTTTCCCACTAGGCGTTAAGCTCCCTGAGGGTAGGGGTCCTGCCTGTCATGTGTGACTTTGTATCCCCAGAGTCTCGCCCTGTGCCTGGAGAAGAGTAAGTGACTCAATAATTACTGATGAGTAAACAACTAAACCTGGGCAAGGTGACAAGCTTCTCTGAGCCCGCTTCCCCAGCTGGAGAAACTCAGAATGGTAACAGCTACCTTATAGGGTGATAAGAGTTCAGTGAAATTTTGGATGTAGATTACTTGGTCCCCTGTGTGCCTCTGAGGAGATGTGCCAGGCGGTCCAGCCTTTGCCCTCTTCCCCTCTTCAGCCATATCAGCATATTCAAGAGAGAGTCTTCATAATGTGTCTCACATTAAACAAATTAGCTATGTAAAAATTACATACAGGATAAACTACAAGTTATTTGCTCTATAAAAGGTTTAAATAATCATCTACTTTTATGTATTTAAAATGACCCAATATACCGAAAAAGGAAGAATTTTATGTAGCTTCTGTGCAATACATCTTTCAGAGCGGGCGTGCCTGCATTGCCAACCTCCTCACCATCCCCTCCCCCAACAAGCACTACGGTAAAAGCAGCTCAGCGGAGCCTAGAGAGGTTGAAACACAGTTGGGAAGGAAGACAACTGGAACCTGGAATGCAGGACAGGTTTGTTTTTCCTACTTCCCAATCCCTTGAGGGCCATGAGGGTTCAGTGCTCACCACTTTTGGTATGTGGTGACCTCAAGCTGAAGGCACAGGCCAGGGAAAGGCAGGCAGGAAGGTCGGGCTGAAGGCTGGCTGGGCCAGAAAGGCCTGACGGAAACCCCCAAGCCTAGGCAATGTCTGTGGGCCGCAGGCTCGCCATGGCCCTGGGGGCTGCGGGAGTCACTCACCAAAACCAACATCTCCACAACGTCGGGCTGCTGCAGGAACTGGGGGTCCACGGCTGGCCACGGCTGGAGCAGCACGCCGGCGTCCCAGGCGTAGTGGGCGCACAGCTTCTTAGGCACCAGCGCCAGGCCTGCAATGTCAAGGCCAGAGGGTCACTGAGCACACGCGAGGCTCATGGCAGCAGGATAGAAAGCTCTCACCTCAATACAACCTGGCTGGGCCCGACTGAGGAGGCTCCTAAGGCCACACCATGGTTTTTCACAGCCTACTAGGCGTTCCCCACTCACTCCGGCCTGGTTTATCATCCCAGGTTACAGGCAGCTTTTTTTTTTTCTAGACAGCACTCAGAGCTGTGAAGGTGAACGCACATGCTGTTCTAAAGTGTGCGTCTGGAAAAACAAGGCTGCTGGGTGGTCTCTGAAGTGCTGCTGTGAAGGAATATCTTTGTGCTCCTGAGAGCCGACCCCAAAATAACGAGCTGAGATGCATTTGCTTCCTTTCTTGCCTGTGAATACTGTGGTCTCAAAGGGCCTCCCACCCGGTTCTTTCATTCATAGTCTCAGGAGCCGACAAGCGGAGAACAGCAGGTGCTCCTCCTCGACCTTCTCAGAGGGGTCTCAACCTTGCTGCTAAACCTCCCCTCTGGGGAGGGGTTCTCACTAAGTATTGAGCTGCAAAGAGCTGTCCTTGGCTTGGGTGGGTCAGACACGAGGAAGCAGTGCGCAGCGAAACCCCGTCAAGTCCTCCCAGCGTGCTTCATGCTGCAGCCATCCTGTGGCCGTGCCCAGGACATTCCCACTCAGCACTCACAGGGTTACACAGGGCCAGCTGTCAGTGCTTGGGGACACCAGCCAGGGGCTTCCTAGCAGGGAAAGCTTTGATGTCAAAGCCTCTGCCGATCATATGAGCACAAGAGTTGACCCCCAAATGTGCAGTGAATACACACATCAGAAAAACAGATAGATGCCTGGGCACTACCAATGTAATCCCATCCCATGGCCTCCTTGTCCTCCCAGAGGCAGGCCCTGAGCAGGGGTGGGGGTGTGAGTGTGCCAGTGTGCCCAGGCTGGGGCTGTGCCATGGCAGTGGCACAGCCCTCACGCTGTGAATGGCTCTTCCGGAGGTGGTGGAGGTGGGGGGCCCTTGCCCACCTCCCCCTTGTTATTAGCCTTGAGACCAGGAGATGCATTTCAGGGACAGGCCCATGGCTCAGAGGAGGGTCAGAGGCAATGGTTCCCACCGATGCCAGCGCCAGGAACACTGGGCCAAGAATGACAGCTTTTTCTTTTATTTTCTTTAATGACAAAAATAATGCAAGCTCCTTGCAGAAAATTTGTAAAAGGTCAAAATATAATGAAGAAAATTAAGTTCAAATAGCATCTCTAAAAATTTTTAGTTTGAAACGCTAATATATTTAACAAATATTTGTATGTATGAACTAATCTTACAAAACAAGACAAAACTACCACCATCGCTAGGATCCTGCTGTAAATATAGTTTTGAATGCTCTTTTTTCCCTATATTTTAAAATAAAAATTAATTTCATGAAAAGAATGACACACAATAGTATATATAACATGACCCTAGTTCATTAAAAATTTATATGAACAGATAAAAGTTGTAAGTAAGTAAATCAGAACATTAGCAATGATTATCCCCAGGGGAGAGAAAAGTATGGGTGACTTCTTTTATGTTTTATGAATTAACTACAAGGAACACTTACTACTTTTTTAATTTGAAAAGGTATTTTAAAATAACGTTTTTCCATACTGTCAGATTAATTCAAGACTTTTCTCCTGGTTTCTTTTTGGGTTTTCATTTTCTTCCCCGTTTAACTTTTGATTCTATCTGTAATGTATTTTGTGTGTAATGTGGAAAAACATTATTTTAAAACATACACAGTCGATTTTCCAAGCCCAATTTGTGGAAGAAACCTTCTCTTCCCTACTGGTTTGTGATTCTTGTTTTATAACGTGTTATCCTAGAGGTGGTTTCAGGACTAATCTAAGATGAGGTCAAGGATTCGGGCCAAAATGTGAATCCACACACTGCTTCTTTCATTGCGAAAAGTCTTGCTACCAAAATACTGGTCAGTCTAACTCAAATGTGTGCTGAGTGACACAGCTGACGTACAATCTAAGCACAAGCTCCTCCTCTTGTCGTGGACTGTCATAGACAGGCCCAGCCTCGCACCGCTCTGGGCACCACCAGTCCCTTCTAGCCTATCGGGCTCCATCTTGATTCTTGTGCTAATGTCAGACTTACTTGTCGCAGCTTTGTACGTCTTCCTATCTGGTACTCACGTTGTAACCCCGTGATGCAGTCAATCTGAGGGACGCAACCGGGTCTGGGGATGGAGTGGTATAGAAGACGTGCTCCTGGGCCCCGCTGGCCCCCTGGACCCTGAGCTTTTACTAGCGAACCTACTCCGTTTCTAACAGATGTGCCCGTGGGCAGAGGCGGGAGGGAGCTTCTGGCTTGTTCCTCAGAAAGGATCCTACTGAGACTCATATCTTAGACAGAGAGGTCTCAGAAGGGAGATAATCGTTTCTTTATTTCAGCAGGCTGGTCCAGGATGGCTTGTCCTGTGACCCAGCTGCAGTGGGAAGGGCTCCAAAACCTCCGTATGGCAGTTGTACAGGATGCCTGGGAGATGAAAGGACCTTGGACACAAATGTTCTGGGCAGAAGCTGTTACAAATTCCATGTTGAAAACAAACGAGGAAGCCCAGCCTTCCTGGAGCAATCAGGATGCTTATTTATAGTGGCCTGGACCCCCGCCAGCGTTTCCATATAGATGGGAGTGGGGCCATCCTGCCAGGGAGGAACAGAAACTCAGACCCGGGGTTCTACACAGTGTTTTCGCCTCCCTGATCTTTTTAAGGAAGTAAAAATACCGAACGTTTGCATGGCAAATACAATGGTTTCTTTACATGATGTAAGTCTGGTCAAGAGCTGGCCTCAGGGAAGCACATGGAGAGGGTCTGAGACCACGCCGGGAAGTGGCCAGGCCCTCGTGCACAAGGCCACCACACAGGGCTCCCCACCTCCTTCCTTCCCTCTCTTGGGACAGTTGTTGTTTCTGACATTTCTGCAAAATAACCGAATCAAGCCTCCTCTCCCACTCTGAGGGCTGGCGAGGTTGCCACAGGGCCATGGCACCCGGGAATGAGTGCTGGGCGGTCACGGCTTCTGTGGATGGCAGGCCTCAGCTGGGGGCCATCTTCAGGACTGTCCCCACCCCCACGCTGTCCCCTCATACACACACAAGGGAGGACCCGGGGACTCTGTGGCATCTGACCTCACCGTGCCTCATCCAGCTCTGGCATTTCCAAGGAATGGACAGGAAGTGAGGCCGGTTCCCTTTAGCCTTTACCCACAGAAGCCCCATGGTTCCCCCCCGGTAATAAACCCAACTTGTTAAAAAGTGTGCACATCTAAGACCCCTTGGGTCTCTGCCTGCTTGAGGTGCCACCCTCCCAGCCTTGAAACTAAGCTCACGCTGAACCGAGCTCCGGATTTGGTTGAAGCCTTTCAGTGTTGTGTTCATTTTGTTTTCTTAGGGATAGCTCCCTCTTTGGGCTTTTTGGTTTTCTGATCAGAGCTGTATTATTCTTTGGCGAAACTGTTTCCTAGCCTCTCACCCCTGTGGCCTAATGTCTCGCCTGTCTATCTGCCTGTGTAGGACCTCGAATGCTGGGTGTTCTTCTTACCTGTCCTTATCTCCTTTGCCTGCACGCTGAGAACCTGTTCAACCCTCAGGAAGGCCTTACAGGACCTCCTCTCCTCCCTTTCAATCTAAGTCAGTCGCTCGACCTCACTGTTGCTTTCACTTGCAAACTCTACTACTACGGGGGAGCCCAACACTGACACTATGTAGGTTTTAAGCCCTTGTCACGTTCAGATCTCCGTGCTGTCCTTAAGGACGTCTCAAGTCCCAGATGGAAAGAGGCAATTTCATTAAAGGATTCAGGCTTGTCTCCAGCCCAGGTCTCTCCAATCCCTCCCAATAATCCACCTGTTGGAGCGGAGGAGGGAGAGGGGGCAACAGATGCAAAAGCTTGGTTAGAAAAGACTAACTGGAAAGACCCAGAAAATGACTTAAAACATAGTGAAATATATTTGTACTCAGAGTACCTTAAAACAAGATCTTTTGGGGACTGTACCAAAGCTCTTTCCTGTTAAAGTAAACTGGACTTTGATTCAATCTTGCAAGAAGCAGAGAAGGAATCCACAGGAGACCTCAGACAGGCCTAACAGCATCTTTAGATACCATGTTTCCCTGAAAATAAGACCTAATTGGAAAATAAGCCCTAGCATGATTTTTCAGGATGCTCGTAATATAAGCCCTACCCCAAACATAAGCCCCAGTTAAGACTGCCAGCCAGACATGGCTGTTTGAATAAATGTAGATTTTTGGAGCAAAAATTAATATAAGACCCGGTCTTATTTTCGGGGAAACACAATAGTTGTCTGGACTAGCTCTTGATGTGTGCAATTCCAAGCTCTTTCCAGTTTTTTAGTGGATGATTAAAGCCAGAAATTGTAGCTAGGTACATAAAAAAAAAAGGGGCTGCCAAATCACCCCACCACATGAACTTCAGCATTTGGCTGAATATTTTCAGGAGGTTTTAGATACCAAAAAGGATAAAATCCAAAGTAAGCTCATGGCTTTGTGATGAAAGGAAGAAAACAGGTCCTCCTATTCCTCAAGGGATAAAACGCCCTTTTCTTTTGACAGACACACTTGCTGATACTATAAAAGGGGGGACACTGGAAAAATAACTGTTTTGTCTTAGCTAAAAAGGAAAAGGAACGAATGCTCTCTCCTCCTGGGGAATCACGAAGTCGTGCTGAGACTGGAGAGGCCAATTCCCAATGATTCCTGTAAAACCAGGAGAAGCGCCTTTACAGCAGAAGGACATGGACCGGCCTTTCTGACAGACAAGTGCACTACTCCGTCAGCTAGAAACTACCACCCTTTCCCACCCACCTTCTGCAGTCATGAGGCTACGTGGGTAACAGGAATTTCAAATCCTCCATTTCTTCTCATCACCCAACCTTGTACTGTGGCTCCTGGTCCCCTCACTGGTCAGCCTGCATTTCTTCTCTGTGATACCACATCAGTAAGTGTTTAGATTCCTCAAAAAATTAAGTATTAGAGCTGCCACACAACCCAGCAATTCCACTTCTGGGTATTTACCTTTAGAAAACAAAAACACTAATGTGAAAAGATATCTGCACCCCTATGTTCACTGCAGCATTATTTACAAAAGCCAAGCTACAAAAGCAACACCCTAAGTGCCCATCGATAGATGACTGGATAAAGAAATTGTGGTGCATTTATGCAATGGAATACTACTTGGCTATAAAAAAGAATAAAATCTCGCCATTTACGAGAACAGGGGTGGACCTAAAAGGTATTATGCTAAGTGCAATAAGTCAGACAGAGAAAGACAAATAGTGTATGGCTTCACTGATATGTGGAAACTTAAAAAACAAAATGAATAAACAAAACAGAAATAGAGCCATAGATAGAGAGACTAAGCTGATGGTTGCCAAAGGGGAGGGGGTGGGGAGGTTGGGAATAAAAAAAAAATAAGTGTTTAATTAGGAGACATCTTACATGTGAATGGAATTGTCAAATCAACTGCATTTCAGGTGGACCATTTCTAGAAATATCTGAAGACTCCCACGCACGATCCTTTAGTAGCTCAATGCATGCCGCTCTGCCTACCCCTCTCTGTTTGACCCAATCCCAATCTGAGAATTATGTGAGGTCCCTGATTCTCTCCGCGGTCTCTCCTGATGTGGAGAGAATGCTCGGGGCTGAACCCACTGAGGCAGAAACAGACTTTTCTGAACCCTCCCCCACACCTGCTCAATACCCTTTGAAGCACGAAGGTAAGGAAGGACTGAGGCCTCCTGTGGAAGACTTTATATAGAGAAAAGGTTCATCATTCTCTATTTTCTATAATTAACATGTATCACTTTGGAAATAATCATGGAAATAATCATTGAAAAGTCCAGACCAAAACATGGATTTATTAGTACGACAGCTCTAAGGTTTTAAGCCTACAAAGGCAATGGGTGTCTGGGTTTAAAAGAATCATGAGATGATTCGATTGATACAGATGCCCCTCCTGGGCGCACAGAACTCATCACAAAATCTCGCACCCAGCAGGGGCTTTCTCCTCATTTGGAGCAAGTCAGGAGAGCACAGATAGCATTTCCTTCTTGGGGTTCCTTGTTTTCAGCTCACTTTAGTCTCTGAAAGACTTGAACAGCGAGCGCCCACTTAGTGAGTTTTGTAGCGTGTGTGGCCAGTAGTGCCTACTTCATGAACCAATGCTGTTCTTGGGACACCTCGTGGCTTTTGGTCACGATGTTTGGGAAGGGTTGCCGTGAGGTCTGCGGCTTCTCAGAGGCCTCCAGATAAAAGCAATATGTCAACACAGTGTTCTAGGCTGCCTGCCTCCTGCGAGCGCCTCTAAAATGTCCCCAGGGGCCACAGGAGGCCTCAGATACAAGGTTTGGGGCACCGGGCCCAGCACAGCCACCGTCCCGTCCTCCTGCACAGCACCGCTCACTTCATCTCCATTTCCACACGGGGGCCACTGCGGGGGGCACAGCAAAACACCCCTCCTCCTGTGCCTGCCCCGCGGGACCCAGGGCCCAGCGGCGCTGCAGACACACGCCGACACTGCACTGGGTTTCCTAAATGGACTGAGGATCATGAGGGCAAAACGACTTAATGCCAGATGAATTCTTTTCCTTCTAAACAAAGCAAGAGACTATAACCCTCATTCCATTCTAAAAGGTTGCTCCTTATTAAAATGAACAGAAAATAGAGATGAGCAAAAGGACAAAGGATCACTGACAGTTAGAGAAGATGGCGTAGGGGGTGTAATATACAGAATGGGAAATACAGTCAATAATATTGGGATAGCACAGTATGATGTCAGGTGGTGGCTGGACTTAGGGTGACTGCTTCTTTAGGTCTATAAGTGTTGACCAACTATGGTGTACCCCTGAAACTGATATAATGTTGTATGTTAGCTATATGGTTTAATAAAAACCTAAAAGATAAAAAGATGGCTTAAGGTAAAGAATTCAAATGATTTCTTAAAAGGAGAGGACGTAGGTATATTCCAGTGATGGGCTTTCAGAATTACCAACGTGCCCTGTAAAATATCCCCAAGAGGCTGCAAGAACAGTGAGGTCCTGCCTTAGGCTTCCATCGGAGGGCCAGGTCTTACGTCGAGGGGCAGCCCCCCACCTGCCCATGCATCAGAATCACCCAGGCTGACCCACTCGTCAATCCCAGAGCTCCAGAATTAAGGTCTCTGTAGGATGGTGGGGCAGAGGCACCGGCATTTCACCCATTTGAGCCTCAGGCATCGGAAGGCTTCCGAGCCCAGCTCAGGAATAACGGTTTGGAGCGGAGGCCTGAATCACAGCTTCAGTGAATATATTTTAGATCTGCACTGTACTTCCGGGTACCTTTTTCTCCATCTATAAAGTGAGAGTTCCTATCTTAAAAAGGAGTTTCTATCTTAAAAAGATGACAAGGGGCCATGACATGTGGATACGAGGAGGCGGGATGATGAGGAAGGATTTGCAGTGGTGACACCAGCACTCAGTCTGGGCACATTGCTGAGAGCAGGGAAGTGTCTTTCCCGTGGGCAGCAGTGACCACGCTGAAGAAGGGGTGCCACTATTCAGACTGCGAGATGA